GATTTACGAAACGATATCAAATCTTTTCGTTTCAAAGTGGTATATAAAGATTTGTTTTAGCTATAGGCTTTATGGCGTGAATCAAAACAAAGCAAATATTTGAAAGATATTTATGATATGAAAAAGAGAAAGAGAGAGAAAGAAAAATTTTATTTTTCTATTTATTTTCTCTCTTTTTATAATATTTTTCTTTTATAGAAACATCAGATATGTTTTCTATAAATACAACAAATTATTTTATTAATTTAATAGAATTATGGAGCGCCAAAGTTAATACGATCTTGAGTTTGATATTAGCGACGTAAGATAACTCAAGTGAACGCTTCTAGCAGATACTTACATCTTTTGCGCCGATATAACTATTATATAACGAGTGAAGAAATAAATATGCGTAATCTTGCGAGTATTATCAGAGGCAAAACGAAATAGCCAGCTTGTCTACTGATTATAAATTAAATGTATTCAAAAACCGCGTCTTGTAAAAACGGCTTAGAGATTCATTGATCGGTTCTCAAAAAACGTAAGAAGTATATTTATAAATGTTATATTTTTAAAGGTTTCAACGTCTGATTTCATCGTCGAATCCGATTCGAGTGTAATACTCGGTAATTTTACATTATTCGACAATGGAAAATTCTTGAAACACACACAAGAGATAAGTCTCAAAATAAACAATGTATTTTTAAACTGACTGATTTTGAAAGCGATTGTGTTCCTGTCTAATAATTTTCAAGTTATTCAAATTTCTCGGATAACTAAACTTATTCTAAAATTGATAAGAAAATTCAAATTTGTTTCTCTCTCTCTCTCTCTGCTTGAGTTTTGCAAATATAAAATACTAATGCGTGATAACAAATTGCACTTGTTACATCGATTTCAATATATAGATGTAGAGAACAATGGAGTATGCAACAATGTTTTATATTTATTAAATCGATCGATTTCAGAAGATCGATAGGGATAAGCAAGGCGCAGGGGTATCATACATAAACTTGCAATCGAAATTATTTTCGACGTATGCGGGAATGGCATCGTAAATGTAGGGAGATTCAGATTTACAAACCAAACTCGATTTGCAAATATCTTTTACCAATGTATGTCACGAATAGAGATCAGAGACATAAATTACAGACACGTAGCGCGAATTGTTTATACCGGCAATTTTGTAACCCATAAAAAAGAAATGACAACTGTTTGTACGAAAGTTAATGAAAGTATAGACGGCAAAGATTCCAGAAGATTAATTATATCGTCAAAATTAGTAAAATAAATATCTCAATTCGTAATAAATCATCAGAATAATATAATTTCAATAATCTCAATAAATAATATATTCTAAATTCTACATATATATTTTTTTCCAAAGTAAAATAATTAGTTTCATTAAACAAAAAAACTAGATTCTCTACATTTACCATTTAAAATACATGTAATATCATGAATATTTTATTAATTAATAATAAAATTAAAAAGGCCAAAAGTAGGTTCTTCAAGATATTATCAGATATATTGCAAAATTAATTTTATGTCTTGGTTTTCGTAATAAATATTTTTGACAGTTAATCATCAAATTACGTCATTCCGTAATCATTCACTATTGTTTTCTATATTCTACAACTTAATCGGTTCCTACTGGATCCTTTGTCGGAATAATAACGACCAATTATTGAATTATTGAATTATTAAATCACCATAGTGTCTATATATTTTATTAGAGATATAACTATGTACCCTTTGCTCTTTTGATTCTTTATCATGACGTTCTCGAGAACATGCAAACAAGCCAGACTATCATTAACGTTATTATTATGTCGTTCTTTATAAAGATCGTCGAATTGAATTAATTCGCCATGCAAATCAAGCTGCGGATACAGAATCATCCAGAATCACATCGCGTTCTTATACGATGAATCGCTCGTCTCACTCAACAATCGAGGAAGCAAAATCGCTCATCTCACTCGATAATCGAGGAAGCAAAATCGCTCGTTAGACTTCTGTAAACATACGCACGCCTGTTTATGAACTGTATAACTATTGATGATTTGAAAACTTATCGATTGTCTAGACATTACGTATCACTATGATGCTGCATCGATTTTCTCATGTGCCGAAGTCTGAATCAATCAAGATGTAAAAAATGCATGAACATAAAATCACAATTAAATCATACATTTTTATTTGTATTTTTTTTTAATCTGTGTTTATGGAGTTTTTAATAAATTTTAATAAACGTGTTTTTATCTGATTCGTTTTACTCCAATGTAGTATTAAATTTATATTTAATGTATGTCAACATACAATTTTGTATATTTAATATTATAGTTTAGTCTATTAATAGTTTGAAGTCTATTAATATATCTGATAGTTTATTAACATTTGATTACTCTACAATTTTACGATTTACATAATGAATTAAAATTTTTAACTCTGTTAGAATTAAAAATTATGATAAAAACAGCTGTTCATTATTTTTTGTTAAAAATTCTCCTTTAAATTATTTCATAATGTGCATAAATTTGACGGATAAAACGTGCAAATACGTTAAGTATAAAATGTGCGAATTAAATGTACAATATTATAAAGCAAAGTATATCACAAAAATTAATTGTGGCAACATTGTAATAATTTAAAATGTTTTAGGACAATATATATAAGTAATTACTTGTTTATGTTACTATGATATTTTTTCAATATTCTTAGGTTGTTAGAGATAGATTAGTAACGGTTCTTGTAATAAAACATTCTATATTTAAAGTTTTAAAATTTTTTATAGTATTATAAATTGTTATTACACATCAATATATATCCCATATTTAAAAATTAAAAGAGAAAAAAAAGTTGAATCGCAAACACTTCAATCACGGTCTCAAAAACAATAAAATCCTTAACTTCATACATTATTCATTTTCTTGCTTTTATATCGATAAAGAAACTTTCAAATTAATATAAATACAACGATAATTTTAATATCGAATTCTAAAATTTTTCCATAATATATAAAAATAAAGTTTTCAGGTTGCACATAAAGACTGAAATAGAATTTCATTGCAGATACCTTAGACAATCTTCAAAACAATAAAATCCTTACCTCTGTACATTAACCATGTAGTATTGCTTTTATAATAATTATTGATTGAGTTTACAGTAGTCAGCATTATCATCACGTGTCACGTGTGTGTGTTGATTTCTTAAACTTTTTCAACGTTATTTATACACAAAATTATCACTTGCAAAGGCGATTATTTGCGATATTGTCATATATTTGCAAGTTAAACCGCTATTAATAATAGGGCGAATTTTTATCTTTCTTCAAGGAATATAAAATGCTACATATATATATTTTATTTTGAATCCTAAAAATAAAAACCTATTTATCATTGTAATAGATTAATTTACACGTATCATGTAAAAATTTTTTTGATTCGAGGCTACAACTGTAGCAAGTTTAATTAATATTTTTATGCTTTAAATTGTTTAATAACTTATTTAATAACTTATAATTATAAACGTAATACGATATTAATAAAACGCGAACTTTATCTCTCCATATAAATTATTACTTTAAATTCGAATTTTATAATATCATATAATATCAACTGATCCAAAGCGAGAGAAATATTTTTAATTAATAAATAATATACTAATATCAATTAATATTTTAAAAAACGCGATCTCAATTTGCATTATTTGTATCTGCAATGAAAATAGTATAAAAGAAAATGATAGAAGATAAATTATTTATTGATTTTTTTGTCAAATTTTTAACTCTTTCTATACTAGATAAATAATCTAGTTATGTCATAGTATAAAGAACAAAAATACCAATTATTGTGCAAATTGCAGTAACGTTTGATTGAACAGTTTTTATATCGTAAATTTTTTTATATCGTAAAAATGTATTCAAACGATTTCGAGAAAATTGAATTAAAGAAACATAACACGAGACATAATGTTTAGTATGTTCACATGTAGCTTTTAAGAATATATCATCATCAAAATAATTGGTTATCGTTAGATAAATGTGCATTTATAAATAAAATTTATCTACTTGCACAACGTATATTTATACTAGAATAGATCAAAAGCCAATACAAATGTATTATAATATATATATTGCAAAGCGAATTGCAATCGATATATATGACCAACATTTTGTCTGCCGTTATTTATTTTCCGATATCACGCAATTTTGCTATCGGTTTTTTTACAATTTATTCCAATATTATTGCTAATTATTATGTTGATAAGTTTATAATAAGAAAACATGATAAATGATTTCGGCCGAGTATTTTTTCTGTTAAAAAAAAGATTGATGATGATATATAAATAAAGTATTGTTTAAATATAACATAAAGTAAGAAGTTTTATATAACATTTTTATCATTATCAAAATTTGGTTTGTAAGAAAAAATAAAAACACCAATTATCAGATTTGCAACATTGCATAAACCACCACAAAATTATTCTGAGAAAAAACTGAGATTTCAAATTAATCAAAAATTATATCATTAAACTGAAGAGATTCGAGAGATTCTCTGAAATATTCTCCATTTGAATACGATTCATAGAAGTAAGTGGCATCGTGGGGTCAGTATAAAAAGTTCATTATCATTTACTGCATATATGCATAATAACGATGAAATTCCAGTAAAATTAAATAATTTGCTGTTACAACAAATATATTGCTATCACATATTTGCTTGAAAGAAAGAAAAAAGAAAAGAAATTATGATTAACTCTTATGCCACGAAAGGGAATGAATGAATTTTTAATTAATATTATTAAGCTAAGTGGATGTTGATGAATATTATTAATGGGAATCGTGATTGAAGTATGAAAGGATCCCATATCACATTGGTGTTGACAGTTAACGAAATTCGCACAATACGCGATTTGCTATCACATCCGAGACGCGATCCCTATCACATTCGCGTACACGCATATCCGTTCACCTTGATACGCCCCGCGACCTTATCTCGTAATAAGAAAACGAGCCTGACCTTGGTACCGGCATATCCATAATGGTGGCGCGATGATGCTGATGGTGATGTTGGTGATGCGATTGATGCGTGCGGTCATCCGTGCCTATGATCCCCGGGTGGAGGGTCTGTTGTTGCGGATGCTGCGAGGGCAAACTCCTCAAGTACGCTTGTTGCTGTTGTTGCTGCTGCCACATGCTGTTCCTCACAAAAGCTGTACTTTTCTATCGAGATATATAAATATATGTTTTCCTCTCCAAGAGAGTTCTCTCAACCGTCCGCTCGGATAAAGCACATTCGCTCGTCGTTGTTGACCATTGTGTCCAAGACGATCGGAACTTTTTTTTTTAATCCTCTCCTTCGAGGTCTGGTATTATCACACAGTTTTAACGTCACACAGTACGATAACTATTGTTGACACGTTACTTAGTTTCATTTATTTTTTTTTAATAAAGTTTTATTTATTTTCTTAGTAAATATTCGCGAGATCGATAAATATCGGTCGCAGATGTTCTCCAACGTGGCTTGTTGGATCACTAGAGACCGGCAGCGTCGTTCGAGTACGCCGTCGTTACATCAACATCGATGGGCCGATGTTATGACGCGTTATCGTAACAGTAGCGGCCTATTTACAGCGATCGAATTAAAATTAGCCGACTAATCGCGGCTCTTCGACGAACTTTCTCGACAACAATAAAGTCGTCTCTATCTGATAAGCGTTCCGACGAGCTTCGTGGACCGGTCAGCGAGGGATATTGACGCCGAATCTTCTCGTCATCTCTGCAGGAGTCACATCCCGCCATACGAAGCCTCGATATATATCTTACGCACAACTCTATTCCTCGGAAATCTCACGCACAAGCACCATTTCACTAGAACTCGCGAACTAGGCTGAAACTAGGCGCCTCGATCTTGCGCTTGCGATCTTGATTGATCCTCGACGCCGATCTTGGACAGCTCGCGATTATCGTCATGATAGATTGCACTTGCGCAAATTGCTCGCGGGAACTTGACACCGCGAGGTGTCAGAAATTGCTAACAGGTCTCGAGAAAGAGAGGAGAAACGACGAGACGCGCGGGTTACCGATTACGGAGTTTCTCGATACGACCGCAACTCTTGGACGCAATTTCTGCCTCTCTCTCTCTCTCCCTCCGCCAAGGCTATTGCGCAGAGAAATGCGCTACGCGAGAACGCGCTGCGCGGTGACACGGCGCGAACTTCGCCGGCGGTGACCTTGACACAGTAATCCCGAATGCGTTCGCTCCGTATGTTCGTTGATTTATTTCGCGGTGATCTTTATCCAGTTAGTCCAACGTCGTGGCGCGACTTGTTTCGAGCGGGCGTCAATACGTTCCTGAGGATCTCCCACTTTCGCTCTTCGTCGCGTCCTTGCGACTCTCGCCGGTCGAAGTGCCCGCGCAAAATGCGGGTAAGAGGGGACCACGTTTTCGCACGGAAAACTGCGACGCGATGTCGTCCACCTCGCGATTGGATGCGCGAGCACTCGCAAAATTGACAGCGGGCGAAACGTCACGCGGCCCTAAAAACACGATTGCACTGATTGGGGGGAGGAAAGGGAGAAAGGGAAGAATCGAATGGAAAGGGAACGAGAGATAGATGAGAGGAGAGAAAAATGCGTATCGAGAGCTCTAGAACGCGTATCCGCGGCTCACGGCAGTCGGATGCGAACTGCTGGACGAGCGCCATCCCCACTCCCGATGAACAATCAGCGTTTCCCCTCTCGCCGAGACAACCAATCGTCGCTCCCCTCGCCCGCTCCCTCTGCCCCTCCCTCCCCGCATCGTCCATCCGCTTGGCGTGATAACGACACATTATTAAGCCGCACTCATACCGGCCGGCTTCTGATAAGAAGGAGCTGAATTTCGGAGCACACGTATGTGAAATCGATATATACGCTTCTTTCCTATTTTGCGAATCTTTATTTAGATGCGTTTTCTTAAATCGCATTTACGGCAGGGGAAGAGTATACATATCAGAAATGAAGTGCAATAATATATTAACGTTTGCATTTAACACGACTTTTTACTTAAACGTAATAACAAATATATATTTATAAAAACAATTAATTGTGAATGATTAAAATTATGTATTTCAATGTAATTTATCATTTATAATTTCATTTATATGAACATCTGTCTTTTTTAATATATAATAATCTAATTAGCATTACGTCATTGAAATGCATATGCAATTTGCAATGTAGATATGATTTATCCATCTAATCTAATTCGCAAAATTAAATCTACATTTTTATAAAACAACATTTAATAGATCTTCGTTTTTCTTAAATGTATATATTAGAAGATACACATTATATATATATATATATATATATATATATATATATATATAATTATATTTAATGATATATAATTATATTTAATGATATATAATGGTATATAATTAAATATAATTAAATAAAAATACTAATGACAAATGCTAAGTAAAAATTCTATTTTTCCCCCGCCATTTATGTTATAAAAAAGTCTTATTAGCAGAAATAAATCATTTTTTAATACGTAATAGTCTAATTTGTATTAAACTATTACGCATTCAAAAAAATTCATTGAAATGCATATGAAACTTGGGATGTAAATATTATTAAATTTATTCATCTAATCTGATTCGTAAAATTAAATCTATTTTTATGAAACGATATTTAATAGATATTTATTCTTCTTAAACGTATATATTAGAAAAAACAATATATATATATATATATATATATATATATATATGACATATAATTAAATATAATTAAATGATAAAAATATTAAGTTTAATGACAAATGGTAAAAAAACATTCTATTTTTATCCGCCATTTATGTCAAAATGATCTTATTCTTAGCAGTGTTTATTTGTACAGTTTTATTATTAGCAGAAATATTATCTTTTTCAGTTATCTTTTTTTTTAATGCATAATAGTCTAATTTGTATTATGTCATTGAAATGCATATGAAACTTAAGCTATAAATATAATTTATCTAATTCGTAAGATTAAATCCACATTTTTATGAATACATTTAATAAATATTTTATATCTTTTATTTTATATCTTATATATATATATATATATATATATATATATTATTTTATATCTTTTATATATATATATATATATATATATATATAATCAAATCAAATTAAATGATAAAATAAAAATACTAACTGCGACGACAAATGGCGAATAGAGATTCTATTTTTATTCGCCATTTGTGTCATAAAAAAGTTTTATGATTAGCAGCATTTGTTTTACGGCAAGGCTTCGGCCTTTCAAATGATGAGCCATTGCAAGATTTTCTTGTGACATTCTTATGATATATAAATCGTGAGAGACTAAAAAAATTGTCGGGATTTTTTTAAGAATAATATGGTAAACGCAGAGGTCATATCAAGAGAATAACTATGTGAAGGCCGATGTTTAGAAAACGAATACTGCGCAATTCGTTAAATTTTCACAAATGTTATATACAGAGAAAACCGATGATTTTTATCGAAAAATAAGCCAAAAGCGAGGCATCGAATTTCCTGATAGCCGATCTATTCAATATGGCGATCCGATATTTGCAGTTGTTTTTTAATCGAATATTTTACGTGATCTTTCTCTACATCTCGTATTTCAAACAATGTGCAAATAAAATTCGTTGCAACCCTCGAAACGATAACCGACCTAACCGTGTACATCGTAATGTCAGACTAGGCATCCGCGTGATATTTCATACATTTGTCGCTGAGAATGTCAAATACAATATTTTGTATCTTCAGCGTTGTCCGATTTTTTTCTTTTTATCATTCAAAATAAATATTCATTTAATGCGATATTGTATACTATAATCAGGGACCATGCGCATGAGGTATATCGAGTTACTGTCTTATGTTTGTCCGCAAACAGGAGATATAAGTCTGCAATTTCGAAGTATTGCACAATTTCATATGTATATGAATTACGGTGATAAAAGTATCATCCAAAAAAAAGTATCATAAAAATATCTCAGCATAGTGTCGTCGTTTAATTTATTTAAGTCGCATTTGCTTCGCGTTGTGATTCCATTGTTTTGGTTCTGGCTTTAAATAAGTAAAATGCGTATGCTTTTGAGGCAAATCTTAAAATAATATGTGCAGATATAATCGATCGTATTATTGAGAAAATATATATAAACAAGAAATTATATTAATTTTCATATCATCTTATACATATCGCATTACGTTGTATGAGATATTCAGTTCTTGCTGAAAATTTTTGATATTAATATCTCTTTTGATATTAATATCTCTAAAGAAAAAATAAAGATAATTTAAACATGTTAATTTTAATATCTTACTGTCAATAACAATTTTATCAAGCACCTCTAAAATATCCCAGATTTATCTTACTGTTAGCAATTATCTCAGTATTTGCAATGCTTTCACTATTTAATAAAAAATAAATAACACATTTTAGAAATAATTTTATATCGTAAAAAATGAAAATTTGATATTTTATCAAGTAATTAAAATATCTCAGATTTATTTATTAAACAACTTAATAACGAGATAAGTTAAAAGGGGAAAATTTTTTCATGTGTTTTACACATGAAAAGTTGCATTTAGCAAACATGTATAAAATGTAAGCTTTGATGATCGATTCAATTGGACTGGAAAACAAAACCCTTTTGCTCAGTTGTGCTATAACATCAGCGAACTAGTAATTCTGGTTAGATAAGAGTACAGTAATGCGCCGTATTTACGGTTGATTAATTATCTGAACACGACCGCGAAGGGGTGTATTCATATAGGAAACTATAATAGAATTAACAGAGTAAACTGTGCGGTACTTTGTAATGCAAGTTCATCGTGAAAATAACTATTCATGTATATTTTCAAGTTATACCATAACTTATTATATCACTATTAACTATTATACCACTTCATATATAATCGTCGATTTAATAGATAATGATCTGTACGTATTTTTTTTCAATAAGCTAATAATAATGATTAAAATTCAAGAATTATTTTAAATATTGAAGTGTAACTTTCCTCTTTCATTCTGAATTAAATTTAGTGAATATGATCACACTTAGTATGATTTTTTTATATCAAATCTGTTTTCTGTTTTCGTCTCGTAAATTTAAAATAATCATATTTACGAGTAAGTTAACGATTCGAGATATAAATATTATTTCGCAATTAATGATCATTAAAACGAATTTCAACTTATGTAAGAAGATATATAAGAGAATCTCTCTTCACACAGTATAAATCATACTATAAATACTTATTGACACATAATTACGTACCTCATCGTTATCAAAACGAAGATTATTGGCACACAATTTCAGATGTATTAATTTTGACTTACCCATATGAAATGATGCTGCTTTCAGATACGGACGTGCCTGAAGAGGACGTTCCCGAATCATCTTCGTCCACATCATCCTTCATTTTTCAGAGTTTTCCTGCACATTAAAATAATATTTGATTAATTTAGAAATATTATATCATAAAAAATTAAAAAAAATATTATATCACAAAAAAATTAAAAAAAATAAATTAAAAAACATGTTTTTTTCTTTAGACTTTTAATTTTTAGCTAAAATTTTTTTCCTTACAGTATATTATGGTGTAAAGTTAACTTTACTAGTGCAATATACAACTCTATTTTATACGGCAAATAAAATTATACGCATTTAAAATGTGCTCGACAAGGCGTTTTCTATATTTAAATGTTTGCTATTAGAGCGAATAAAGAGGACGTACTTCAATTGCATCAACTGTAAAATATTTATTCGAGCAGCGTATGCTCGTAAGTATTCGTCTGATGCATTCTAGGCGAGATTCTTTTTACACGTGCGATGGATTGCGTTTGGATTCTCGCCTAACATGAGTAAAACTGATTAAGTGTTTAAAAGCAAGTAAATTCTGCTTGGAAGAATTGATATAAAAGCGATAACTGATGCATCGTCATCGACCAAATAACATAACGATTACGATACATATAGCTTCAAACTGATTCAATAAGTATGCTCCGCCAGTTATATATATGATAGAAAGAGAAAAATGGTGAAATTATGGTGACTGATCGTATAAGATAGTCGATATTTTAAAATCGTAGAATTCATATCTTGATTGTAATTATATAGCCTTGTCACTTGAACCTTGCATAAGGAATATTTGCATCAAATATTCGCAATGTTAGCTATTTAAATACAAACCGAAGTTGCCCAAGAGCTCAATTTTGAAAAAGCTGGTTTAGCATAAAAATACGTACACATTTTAACTACAGCATAAAAAAAAATTTGTTTAAGTCGGCAGGACAGAAATAGCAACGTATTGCGTTCGGAGATTTACTATTTCACATTAATTAATTAATCGAAGAAAAATGTGAAAAATAAATTGTGACAAGCCTTGAAATTCTACCTGCTTTTACCGCACATACATAAGAATTAAACACGCCATGCTCGCAATTCGTATCCATTTGTTCCGCATTCGGTTTTAACAAACTGTGAAATCTATTTTATTAAAATGAATGACGAATTCTGAACGGATATGTAGATTGAAAACTCACCAGGTTGGGGCGCGCATGAGCATGAATGCGAGGCGAATTTGCGATTTGTCATAGTATAATGCCGATATAAAGTTGAACTGACCGACATTCGGCAAACCGGTAAAATCCGTACGATTCAGACCACGGATAAAACCACGTCGCGTAAAATGGTC